CAGCAGCTCCACCGCTCGGGTCCTCAGCACCAGCAGCAGCTCCACCGTCCGGGTGCTCAGCTCCAGCAGTAGCTCCAACGCCCAGGTCCTCAGCACCAGCAGCAGCGCCACCGCTCGGGTCCGCAGCACCAGCAGCAGCTCCAACGCCCGGGTCCTCAGCACCAGCAGCAGCGCCACCCCCAGGGTCCGCAGCACCAGGAGCACCACTCCGAAGACTGCAGCGCCGCGTGTACCACTCTCGGATCTGCTGAATGGGGGGGAGCTCCTGGGCAGGAGGGGAAGTACTGGTGCGAGCTCCAGTAGCACCTCTCCGGAGGCGGCAGTACTGTAGGTACCTCTCCTGCAGCTGCCGGGAGGAGAGGGCTCCTCCAGGTGTAGCACGCTCAGGCCCAGCACCCCCAGACTCAGCACCCCCAGGCTCAGCACCCCCAGGCTCAGTACCTCCAGGCTCAGCACCCCCAGACTCAGCACCCCCAGGCTCAGCACCCCCAGGCTCCGCACCTCCAGGCTCCGCACCCCCAGGCTCCGCACCCCCAGGCTCAGTACCCTCAGACTCCTCACGGTCAGGCTCAGCACCCCCAGCAGGACGAGAGTCAACAGCTACCTCGACAGGCTCAACCGGGTCTACCTGGGACACACCTGAGGGAGCGGCACCCTGAGGGGGGAGGGGGTCTGGTACCTCAGCACCTGGAGCGAGGAAGAGAGGCGGGGGGGGGGGGAGCGGGGCAGTGCGGTAGGGGAAGAGGCGGTAGTAGGGGACGGACTCGTCAAAAGTGACGTCCTGAGAGGCCAGGACACGACGCGAGGTGGCGTGGTAGAACTGCCAACCAGGCGCGTCCGGGACGAAGCCAAGGAAGACACAGGGGACAGCTCGACGGGAGAGCTTGTCCGCGGACGTATCGCGAACAAAAGCTCGAGATCCCCAGACCCGAAAACGCGACGCATCGCCAGCCTCTCCCGTCCAACGCAGTGTCGGAGAGGTCTCCGGTAAGGAGACACGGGGCCAGAGGTTGAGCTGATGCGCAGCGTATCGGACTGCAAACGGCCACAGAAAATGGGGGGCAGCCGCATGAACTAAGGAGGTACGAGCGACCTCCATGACCAAGCCAATGCGGCGCTCAGCAACCCCATTCTGTTGTGGAGAGGCCGGAAGCGTGAACGACTGCTCAATGCCCTCCTGCTGACAGAAGGCCTCCAAGAGGCCAGAGGAAAACTCCCCACCTCTGTCAGAGTGCAGACGCAGGACAGGGAAGTCGGAGCGGAAACGCTCACTGAGCTGGAGACGAGATCTGCGGATCCAAGGGATCAAGACATCAGGGACGTCACCCTTGGTGCGCAAGGGGAAGACCGTGGTGTAGCGCGAGAAGTCGTCAACAACAATCAGGAAGTACCTCTCCTGACCCTGACCACGGACGCGGGCTGGGCCCCACACGTCCATGTGGAGCGTCTGCAAAGGAGCAGTCATCGGGGGGAAGGAGGAGGAGTGAGGAGCGGCTCGCTGCCGCCCCTCGACACAGGGAAGACAGGGAGGAGCAGGCGAGGGTGGGAGGGGAGGGAGAACCCTGGGAAGACCAGCAACAAGGTCCCGTTTGTGCATGGCCCGAAGGCGCTGCACAGACGGGTGACCAAGGCGGTGGTGCCAGAGGACAGTCTCATGCGCCAGAGAGCGACACGAGCAGGGGGCGGACAGCTGACCTGACGCAGACGCAGACGCGGACGCAGCTACCTGAGGGGACTCAGTGGTCAGTGTGTACAGGTCCGACCCCGGCTGCCGAGTGAAGGTAGCCAGGTGACGGCCCGTCCGAGCACACGTGCAGTGGGTCACGCGCTCGTAAGCAGGGGTGAACTGGTGAACACCCCCGTCCTGGAGCGCACTACCCGCCACCAAGTTCGTAGAGAACGAGGGGAGGTAGAGGCCTGACAGTGTGCCTGACGGGACCGCAGGACAAGGAAGGACAGTGGAGGAGGTCGCAACGACCGGACCCCCAGAGGGGTCAACGAAGGAGACAGCAACTGGCCGAGCAAGCGGCTCAAGGACAGTGCGGTCACGAAAGAAACAGCGAGAAGCACCTGAGTCCAGTGTGAAGGTGTGCAGTGCTACAGTCGACTCAGTACCAGCGGGCACGGACTCACTAGCACCTAGAGCAGCAGCCTCACCAGGACCTGGGGCAGCAGACTCACTAGCACCTAGAGCGGCAGCCGGACTGGTCAGAATGCCCGGGTCGGGCGGAACACGCAAGTACTGAGCACCCTCTCCACTAGTAAACATCGCATACATGGCAGTGAGAATAGCATCAAAGTCTAAAGCCCAGATATCAACTCCCTTCTTCTCCAGATCAGCCCAGTGGGGCAGGTCAGTGGCATCAGGAAACTGGGCACGCCACGCGTCAGTAAGGCGCGCGAAACAGCGCTGTGTGGGATGCGGCCTCCCACACTGCTGGCCAGTGCGGTCACCAGTGCGAATGACGTACGTGCAGGTAAAGCCACGCTGCGCATACCACTCACGGGCGGCCTGAAGCGACGGGGCGGGCTGCTGACTCTGTCCACCGCCAGCGCCTCCACGACCACCACCGCCGCCGCCACCGCCCCGGCCACCTCCACCCCTGCCGCCGCCACGACCACCTCCGCCTCCGCTGCCGCCTCCGCCCCTGCCACCGCTCCCGCCGCTGCTGTCACCACCCCCACTGCCGCCACTAGCCTCTCCAGTCCCACCGCCACCCCCACCGCCACCACTCCCGCCTCCCCCGCCGCCACCTCCACCCTTGCCCCCTTTGCCCCTGCGGCGCCCGCTCGGAGCAGACGCAGCCCCGACCTTCTCAGCACCAAGGAGGTCGACAGCAGCAGCAGAGGCGACAGAGGGGAGGAGAGGGGAAGGGGAACACCCCTCAAAGAACGGGGTGCGGGGGTCGCCACGAGAGGTGCCTACAGCGACGATGCTCGCCTCAGCTGCAAGCAATTCCTTCTCGAGGAGGGCAATGGTGAGCTCAGTGGGAGAGCGAGCGAGGAAGTGATCCCTGACTGCGCGCAGAGAGTCAGGGAGGCGGGTGACGATGTGGTAGAGCGTGATCCAGAGCGGGGGGGGTTGCTGGCAAGGAACTCGTCAGGCATAGCAGCGCGAAAGCGGGCCTCACTGGTCCTGAGGTGGGTGATGAGGTCAGCGACTGTGCTGAAGGAGGCCAGGTCGGGGAACAGGTAGGGGAGGGTGAGGCGGCCTAGTGCGGCAGAGGCAGGTGAGGAGTAACGAGCAACTACAGCAGTGTACAAGTCCTTAGCAGTCTTGTGCTGGCCAAAGTGCTCGCGCTCATCTAGTGGCAGGGAGTTGCGAATAGCGAAGCGAGCGTGGGCGTCACGAGTCTGCCACTGTGAGCGCTGAGTGCTGTCTGCAGTGGTAGGAGGGGCAGTAGCGTGACCGAGGGCATGATCGTACAGCGAAATATCCTCCTTGGCAGTGAGCTGTAGGAAGAGGTGCAGGTCATCTAGCCAGGTGTCAAATTTCACTGGGCGGCCCTCAGCATCGAAAGCAAGTACGGGAGGACTGGCCATAGTGGCAGCAGTAGTAGCAGTAGGAGCAGTAGTAGTAGCCGTAGAAGAAATAGGAGGAGCAGCAGTATCGACGGGGCTGCTGGTACGGGCGGCGCGGCTCGGTCTGACGGCGCGGCTCGGTTCAGGTAGGGCGGCGCGGCTCGGTTCGGGCTGCGCGGCTGCGCGGAGCTGTGAAGCGGTGCGGTATGGGGCCGCGGGGGCCTCTAAGCGGGGCTCGACGGGGCCGTGGGGCCGCTAAGCGGGGCGCAGCAGGGTCGCGGGGCCGTGAGGTGGCGGGCGACGGGGCCGCGGGGCCGCTAAACAGGGTGCGCGCGGGGCCGCGGGGTCTCCGAGTGCGGGTCGACGGGGCCGCGGGGCCTCTACACGGGGTGCGCACGGGGCCGCGGGGCCTCTAGGTGACGGTCGACGGGGCGACGGGGCCGCGGGGCCGCTAAACGAGCTGCGCGCGGGGCCGCGGGGCCTCTAGGGTGGGTCGACGGGGCCGCGGGGCCGTTACACGGGGTGCGCACGGGGCCGCGGGGCCTCTAGGTGAGGGTCGACGGGGCGACGAGGCCGCGGGGCCGCTAAACAAGGTGCGCGCGGGGCCGCGGGGCCTCTAGGGTGGGTCGACGGGGCCGCGGGGCCGTACACGAGGGCGCACGAGGGCGCTGAGGGGGAGGCGCTAACGCAGCACTCCGACAGTAGGTAGGAAGTAGGTAGTAGAGGTGGGCCCAAAAAAAAAACTTAGGTCCTAGCGAAGGACCTGCTCTGAAACCATGTCAGAATAACTGAACGAGGAATGAGTGAACTAGCAGTGAAATGAGTACAAGTACCTAACCCTAGAATTGTGTACCCCCTATAGGCTAACCCACTGCAGCCTAAACAAGCACAACACATATAATGTTTGACACTTGAGATGCCGGCGTAACCGTTGATGGAGGCGTGGAGTCGCGTCTCACACTCTCGGTCATCCGACCTTGCTCTGCAAAGGTAGAAGCATGAGAGTGTGGGTTCGTGTTAATGGGTCAGAGCAACTTAGGATGAATTGGAATGTATGTCATGGTAAAGATTAATGAAATCAAGTTGCTATGAAAATGTCGCACTTAGGACCTGAATGGCATACCTATTATCCCGGGAGTTGCTGGCGGTGTGCGTACCACATTGGCGCCGGGGAGACTACCTGCAAGGGCGGGTGGCACTGCATTCGCACGATCGCCAAAAATGCGGTCATAAATCTCCAAATATATCGGCATTTTCGGAGGGCGACCTTTCCCAGACGGCTTCAACAAGAGATCGTTGATTTTGCGATAATGGGCCTCCATCCGAAACAATTTTGCCATGTTAGTATACAACACGGCAAAAACATCCACAGCAACTACTCACACCGCGGTTGTTTTTTTTTTTTTTTGCATGGTTTTATGCCTTCCCGTTTTTTTTTGCAGCTGTTCACACACTTCATCGAGCAGCTCAACGCCGCCATGGTGGCCGAGGACAGCCAGATCGTTATCCTCTTGGACAACGCGAGCAGCCACGTCATCAAAAGCGACGACGCGGCCTTGGAAGACCTCTTCGGCTTCCGTACTCGCACACTCGGCAATATCTGGCTCATGTTATTGCCGCCCAACACGACCGCCTTCACGCAGCCGCTCGATCAGGGGCTCAACGACGAAGGCGCGCTACCGAGTGCACTGGCTTCGTGCCGTCACGGCCCTGTGGCAAGATGCTGGTGCAATGCCTGTGATGGCACGGTACCGCCCAAACATGTGCAACGTCATCGCCTGCCTCTCGGACGCATGGATGAACATCCCCGCGCGGACGATCCAGCGTTGCTGGTGGCGCACGGGATTCATGCCGTGCGCATGGATCTCGCGCACGTTGGGCTGGACGGCCTTGCCCTAGTCGGCAATGGCGTGAATGCCGCTCTCCCCATCGACCTCGACGAGGACATCGGAGATGTCGGCATTATGATCGCCCGTCTTGGACTCAAGCCTAGCGCCATGCCGGCCGCCGCCTTCGTCGCCATCTACGACGACCAGCCCACATGCGCCGAGCCTGGCGAGGACCCGCTCGCCCTTGAGCCCGCCACGGGGTATTCGGACGCCTCGTGGGAGGCGCCCTCCACCATGCAGGTCGTCTACGACGATGACAACCCCAAGAGCCGTGAGGCGTGGCGTTACACACGGACGGTGAACGAGATGCTCGTTGGTTATGCTCGCGCCACGGGCATCACGCTGCGCAACCTCTGTGCCCTGTTCGAAATCAAGAACCCCATCATCGTCGACCGCATGGAGCGGGCGAGCCCCGCTCTGAACCTGAACGCTACGCTGCCGCCCGGATCCCAGGCGACCGCGCCCGCCGACGCGACGGCAACGCTGGCGACTGCGGCCAGCACGTTGGCCACCACCTCTCGTCGCTGCGGGTGCGTTCTGCCTGCGTGGATGTATGCGCCAGCTCCCACCCGCCAGCAGCTTATTGACTCTGGCGTGAGTGCCGTCATGAACGGATATGTTGCGGCTGCGGATTGGATGACTCTGTGAAAGGGGTTTGGTCGCCCCTGAGAGGAGAACGACTCTCCTCTGTGCACACTTGTGCACATCTTGTGCACTTGTGTGTGTGTTTCAGTAGCCCCGTGTGATGGTTTAAGTGCGCCAGCTGTGAGAGTGTGATTGGCCTGTCAAACTGTATGTGCTGCATATTGTCTAGGCTGTAGTGGGGTAGCCCATATGGGGTACAACCAAATTAGGGTTTACTACTTGTACTCCTGCATCCTGCTAGTTCACACCATTCCTGCTGCTAGATTCTAACATGGTTTCAGAGCACTAAGGTCCGTAGGACCGTTTTTTTTTCGGGCCCACCTACCGCTGCGGTTACCGCGCTACCCCACGTACCTGCCTGCCTTGCCTTGCCTTGTGACGTGCTGCACATGCGCTGCCTCCTGCTGCCCTAGGCCAGCGCGCTGCCCCTAGAGGCCCGTAAGGCCCGCGCGCCGCCTCTACACGCCCGTCAGGCCCGCACACAGCCCCTGCAGACCGTTAAGCACGCTGCTGCCGCGCGCTGCCCGCACCGAGACCGCGCAGCCCGCACCGAGTCGCGCGCAGCCCGCTGCAGCCGCGCGCAGCCCGCACCGAGTCGCGCGCAGCCCGCTGCAGCCGCGCGCAGCCCGCACCGACCCGCGCGCAGCCCGCTGCAGCCGCGCGCAGCCCGCACCGAGCCGCGCGCAGCTCGCAGCTGCCGCGCGCAGCCCGCGCCGAGCCCACGCAGCCCGCGTCGAGCCGCGCGCGGCCTGCTACGGCCTCGCGAGGCCCGCGCGCGGCCCGCAGCAGCCCGCGCCGAGCCGCGCGCGGCCTGCTACTGCCTCGCACGGCCCGCGAGCAGCCCGCAACAGCCCGCGCCGAGCCGCGCGCGGCCCGCTACTGCCTAGCGCGGCCGCGCGCGGCCTGCAGCAGCTCAGCGCGCTGTCAACGCAGCCCGCGCCGAGCCGCGCGCGGCCCTCTGCCTCGGCCCCGACCTGCCGCTGATGCGGCCCCGCCCTGCAGCTGCCACGGCCCCGACCTGCCGCTGATGCGGCCCCGCCCTGCAGCTGCCACGGCCCCGACCTGCCGCTGATGCGGCCCCGCCCTGCAGCTGCCACGGCCCCGACCTGCCGCTGACGCGGCCCCACCCTGCTTCGGCCCTGCTCTGCAGCCGGTGTTGCGGCCCCGACGTCGCCGCTGTCGAGCGCCGGCCCTGCTCGCCCGGTGAGCGCCTGCTCTCCCAGCCTTTGGTGAGCGACTGCCTGCCTGCCTGACGGCCTGCCTGTCTGCCTGCCTGCCTGCCTGCCTGGCTGCCTGCCTGCCTGCCGGCCTGCCTGCCTGCCTGCGCGCCTGCCTGCCTGCCTGCCGGCCTGCCTGCCTGCCTGCCGGCCTGCCTGTCTGTCTGCCTGCCTGCCTGCCTGCCTGCCTGTCTGCCTGCCTGCCTTCCTGCCTGCCTGCCTGCCTGCCTGCCTGCCTGCTTGCCTGCCTGCCTGCCACGCCTGCCCTGCCCGCGCTGCTGCTGCTGCTACTGCTACTGGCAGGTGGCCAGATGCAGCTCCAGCGACGTTCACGCGAGCCTCTCACGCCCCAGCAGCTTAGTGAGTGGTATACTAGCTGGGGTTGTCGCGGTAGCCGTCGTAGCTGTCGCCCTGGGGCTGGTCAGTTGGGAGCGTCTAGCAGTGGCCAGCTGCAGCTGCAGGGGCGTCCACGCGAGCCACTTACGCCTCGGCAGCTCCAGGAGTGGTACGCTCAGTGTAGCAGGTCTACACGTACAGTTCGCTGCCCGTACGTCATTCGCACAGGTGCTAGGACTGGTCAGCCTTGTGGGACGCTTGGTCACACACAGTCCCGCTGCTTCGCCCGTCTGAGCGACGACTGGCGCACAGTGTTTGGCGACGAGGCTGAGCTCCCCACCTGGCTGGAGCTGCATGGACAGAGGGTAGATATCTTTGCGCTTGACTATGATGCTATTCTCACTGCCATGTATGCCTTGTCTACTAGTGCTGACCGTGCCTGTTACCTGTGCGTACCGCCTGACCCTGGTGAGGCTGCTGCCCTAGGTGCTAGTGCGTCTCCTGCTCTAGGTGCTGGTGAGGCTGCTGCTCTCGGTGCTAGTACGTCTACTGCTCTAGGTACTGGTGAGGCCGTGGCTTCAGGTGCTGGTGAGTCTGCTCTCTCTGGTACTGCGCCCACTGCGGTCTCGCACACCTTCACCCTTGACTCAGGAGCTTCCCGCTCCTTCTTTCGCGACTGCACCGCACTCACGCCGCTCAGTCGGCCAGTCCCGGTCTCCCTGGCGGACCCCTCTGGGGGTCCAGTCCTTGCCCACCACTCCACGGTTCTGCCGTGTCCGGCCGTCCCGTCTGGCTTCCTGTCAGGTCTTTACCTCCCCTCGTTCTCTACGAACTTGGTGAGTGGAGCTGACCTCCAGGATGGGGGGGTTCACCAGTTCACTCCTGCGAGTCAGCGAGTGACTCACTGTACGTGTGCTAGGACGGGCCGGCACTTGGCCACGTTCACCCGTGCACCTGGCTCGAGTCTGTACACACTGACCACTGCGTCCCCTCAGGTAGCTGCGTCTACGTCTACGTCTGGTCAGCTGGCGGCCCCCTGCGAGTGTCGCGCTTTGTCGCACGACACTCTCCTGTGGCACCACCGCCTTGGTCACCCCTCCTTGCCTCGCCTGCGTAGCATGCACTCTCGCTCCCTGGTCTCTGGTCTCCCCAGGTCTCTGCCTGCCCTCCCTCCCTCGCCTGCGCCGCCCTGCATTCCTTGCGTCGAGGGGCGGCAGCGCGCCGCTCCTCACTCCTCCTCGTTTCCTCCCACAGAGGCTCCACTGCAGACGCTCCACCTGGACGTGTGGGGCCCAGCCCGCGTCCAGGGACAGGGCCACGAGCGGTACTTCCTGCTGGTTGTCGACGACTACACGCGTTACACCACGGTCTTCCCCTTGCGGAGCAAGGCGGATGTCCCTGCTGTTTTGATCCCCTGGATCCGCGCAGTTCGTCTCCAGCTCCGCGAGCGGTTCCGGTCGGACTTTCCTGTCCTGCGTCTGCACTCTGACAGAGGTGGTGAGTTCTCCTCCAACCTCTTGGCAGCCTACTGTGCGGAGCACGGCATCACCCAGTCGTTCACGCTTCCGGCCTCTCCGCAGCAGAATGGGGTTGCTGAGCACCGCATTGGCTTAGTCATGGAGGTCGCTCGTACCTCCCTGATCCATGCGGCTGCCCCCCATTTTCTGTGGCCGTTTGCGGTCCGGTACGCCACGCATCAGCTCAACCTCTGGCCCCGTGTCTCCTTGCCGGAGACCTCGCCCACACTGATGTGGACGGGGAAGGTTGGCGATGCGTCGCGTTTCCGGGTCTGGGGTGCTCGTGCCTTTGTCCGCGATACCACCGCGGACAAGCTCTCCGCCCGCGCTGTTCCCTGTGTCTTCCTTGGCTTTGTCCCTGACGCGCCTGGTTGGCAGTTTTACCACCCCACCTCGCGCCGTGTCTTTGCGTCTCAGGACGTCACGTTCGACGAGTCGGTTCCCTTTTACCGTCTCTTCCCCTACCGCACTGCCTCGCTCCCCCCCCCGCCGCTCTTCCTCGCTCCAGGTGCTCCCCAGGTAGACCCCCTCCCCGCTCCCGGTCCTGCTCCTTCAGGTGTTTCTCAGGTAGACCCTCCTCCCTTGACTGCGCCGGTTGAGGTCACTGGTGACTCAGGTCCTACTGAGAGTGGTCCTGCTCAGGGTGCTACTTCTAGGGGTGTAGAGCCTGGTGGTGCTGAGCCTGAGTGTGAGGGGTCTGGGGGTGCTGAGCTTGGCGGTACTGACGCTGGAGGTTCTGGAGCTACTGAGGGTGCTGGCGCTGGAGGTTCGGGAGCTGCTGGAGGGCCTAGTACTGGTGGCGCTGGAGCTGGAGGTTCTGGAGCTGCTGAGGGTGCTCGCGCTGGAGGTTCTGGAGCCGCTGGAGGTACTGGTGCTGAGGGTACTGACACCGGAGGTTCTGGAGCCGTTGGGGGTGCGGGCGCTGAGGGTTCTGAGTCTGCTGTTGCGCGGTCTCCTTGGAGTGGCCGCCTTCGTCCACGTGTGCCTCTCACCCCACAGCAGCTGCAGGACTGGTACGGTCACCGTCAGCGTCGCGCTGCTGGAGCTAGGAGTCGTGCTGGTCCTTTGTCTACTGGAGGTGCTGGAGTTGCTGGTTCTGGAGGTGCTCGTGCTGGAGACACTGAGGCTGGAGACCCTGGGACTGGAGGTGCTGGCTCTGGGGGTGCTGCTGCTGGAGACACTGAGGTTGGAGACCCTGGGGCTGGAGGTGCTGGTTCTGGGGGTGCTACTGCTGGAGACCCTGAGGTTGGAGACCCTGGGCCTGGAGGTGCTGGTTCTGGGGGTGCTGCTGCTGGAGACACAGAGGTTGGAGACCCTGGGACTCGAGGTGTCGGCTCTGGGCCTGGAGCTTCTGGAGCTGCTGGAGGTACTGGAGCTGCTGGAGGTACTGGAGCTGCTGGAGGCACTGGAGCTGCTGGAGCTGCTGGTCCTGGTGCAGCTGCGCCGACACGACTGTTCTTCGCTCCGCCGTCTCCGTCGTCTCTGCCGCCGTCTGCCTCTGTTCTTCGTCAGGTTCTTACTCTTCCGTCGTCTACTGGTCTTCCGTTACAGTCTGGCTCACCGCTGCCTGCTCCTTCTCCTTACACTGAGCTGACTGGTAGTCCTGCTGAGCGTCGTGAGCCTGCGTCGCGTCCTGTTTCGCCTGTTCGTCCTGGTCGTACCGGTCGTCGTGTTCCTCGTTCGCGTCAGCCGGCTGTCCCCGGCGCACACCTCGTAGTCCGTCGTCCTTCCTCTGCTCCGCCGCCTGTTCCTCTGCCGTCTCCTCCTGCGTCCTCTCTGCCTGCCGTTCCGGACCCTGAGTCTGACCGGTTTCGTACTGAGCACCCTACTGTCACGCGTCTCCTAGCCACTGTTGTCACTGACCCGTCGTTTGAGTCTACTGCTGCGTCTGCCTTGGTCGCTGAGCTTGTTGACTTTGCTGCTGCCTGTCGTC